AATGCTTGGTCACCAATTGCAGATTCTCGGTGCATTCACTTGGACAATGTGTCGCTCTAGCTATGCTATGAAAATTGAGAAACTTGAATGAACCTTCAAAGGTGCATTTTCTTTTTCAAATTGAGGGACGTGATTGAACATTTTAATATTTTATATAGAGAAACCAAATTGAACAGACTGACTAAGTATATAGCAGGATAAAACAATACTTTTGCCTATTGCTAAAGTGACTAAGGGTCAATTAACCGGTGAGAGGTTTTCAACAAATATTATATAATGTCAAATTTTTTATATAAATACATAAAAAAATTGAAAGTGTCAAAAAGTATATAAAATATATTAATTTTTTTTAAAATATTTTAAATATTATATATATAATTGGAAAGATAACAGCCCTCAATTTCCATTAAAATCCGTTACTGGTTATGAGGAATTTTTGGAAAAAGACTTCTAAAAAGGAAAATAAAAAATATTAAAATTAATTTTTTTCATTAGGTAAATTTAAAATAAGTTAATTTGTAGAAACTCTCTCATATTTTTTAAATTTTTATTTCAACGCATGAAATAATATTAATTTAAGGAGAAATCAATTTTCTTTTCATATTTTTCTCTTTCAAAAGTCCTTTTGAAGTGGTCCATTGAAATAGAAAGAAACATAGAATAAATTCCATGTTCTTGCAAAGCCTTCTCTCTATATATTTTTGGTTTCCCTACACTTCTAGAAATTTGGTGTCCGCTTGTCTTCTCGGACATTTCAACACTCAAATTAAGTTTGTTTTCAATTACCAAAAGTGCTAGTAAACTTATCTAGATGGGCTTTTACTTTCTTTTTTCCTGAGTGTAATTAGAGCCTAATCACTCTGTAATTGGCATTACTTAGATTAATCAAGTTTAACATCCTGATCATGTTATTCATGTTCTCGGCCTGAGAGCGGCATGTTATCGGACTTGGGTATATAGTCATACTGCCAAAGCCCAGGTATTTGGTATTGACATCTTGAACAAGGGTTTTTTTTCAAAGAAAAATTGTTTTTTGAACTTGACTTTTAAAGCTTCTCCATGAACCTCCAAGCATTTTTCTTTTACCTCTAAATTTTTTTTAATGAGTTAAATATGCTTTTAGTCTCTTAACTATCAAGTATTTTTAGGTTTAGTCTCTCTTCCAAACTCTATTTCACTTTCATCCTTATTCTTAATGAAACGGTAATATTTAGTCCTAAAAAAGTAACGACATTAAATTTTGTCTGAGTTGGCTAACAATGTGTCATGTTAAAAATTGAAAATATGAAATTCAACTGAAAATGATTTGGTCATTTTCTCTTCCTCGTTACCATGGCTAATGGCCCTCCTCCCTCTCTATGCCTCAACCTCCACCTTGACACCACCACCTCCGCCCCAGCCTTCCACCTTGACCTTGCCGCTCTCCGCCGCCTCTCCGAAAAGCTTCTCATCCTCGTTCTCTCCGTATATAATGGCCCAATGGGCCATTCCTGGATGCGCGACGCCAAACTGTTGGGTCAGGTTCATCTCACCGTTAACTTCTCCACCGTCCTTTCTCACTCCAATACTTCTCCACTTCTTTACTAGCCTCATACAAAGGCTGTCACCAAAGGGTCCAGGAAATAAGGTCGTGATCATATGGTGCAAGGCCACCTCGTGACTAATGTTTTGAATTTGCCTTACAATCTTCCCAAACGGCTCTATGAACGTTCAGAGCAACTTTTCCTTCTCATGCCTGATATTGCTCAAGCTGAGAGATGTTAGAAGATATGGATGGCTTATAGGGAATTGCACCCCAAACTTAGTGCGGATAGTGGTGAAGTGTTTTATGTAGTTGGGTGGTAGGAAATTGAACCAAGTCAACGTTTCTCCCTTGAGTAAGATGGAGAAGAACCTTGTTAGATATATTGTCTTTATTTTATATTTATCTTTTATCTTTAGTTAGTTTGTTATTATTTCTTATTTGTATTTTGGGCTTATCCCATATTTCTTATAAATAAAGAATCCTAGTGTATATTCAACACAAGGGAGATTAATTTTATACATAGTTTTTATTATATTCAACATGGTATATGAGTCTAAGGTTCTTTTGAGGAAAAAAATTATGTTGCCTCACTCGTTTTCCTCTTTCAGGTTCATCGTGTGTTGTCGCACATCTCGTCTCCTCTTAAGCAACTATTCAGACCATCGAGGTTGCTCTTTTTCCCTTTTCAGGTTTTTTTTATTGAAGAATCTTGGATTTTTATGGTTTCTCTCTCCTGTTCATCCATGGCTTCTTTCACTATCGTCTTTTCTGAGCTCTATGTTCTCACTATTGTGTTTGACTCGTCCATATATGTTTTTTCTCCCATGAAAAAGATTACTTTTGTTAGTTTATTTATAGTCATGGTGGCTCTCTAACAATGACCTCTTTATCCACGGGATGTCAACAATGCATTTTTCAATGACGATTTGCAATAAGAGATTTACATGGAGCAACCTCCTAAATTTGTTGCTCATGAGGAGTATTTTGGGTTGATATTTTGTCTTCAATGTTATCTTACAAATCATTAGCAATTTGGTGTCACTCGAGTGCAAAAATAAATATTTTCACTAAATCTTTATGAATTATATTAGTAACAAGTTTGATACATACGATTTGTATGCACTAGCTTTAGGGGGAGTGTTAGATATATTATCTTTATTTCATATTTATCTTTTATCTTTAGTTAGTTTGTTAATATTTCTTATTTGTATTTTGAGTTTAGCCCATATTTCTTTTATTATAAATAGAGAACCCTATGTGTATATTCAACACAAGTGAGATTAATCTCATACATAGTTTTTACTACATTCAACAACCGTAAACTAAACAAGGTTATTAGAGGTGTAAAGTATCATTTGTTTCATGAACATCCTCAAATGTTTGGCAGGATCAATGGAGTCATCATACTTCTCAATGCTAGAAGGGTCCACTTGTTTGACAAGGGGGTTTCCATTATGCCTGACATGAAGGGAAGCAATTATGTTGTGTTCACAATGAGCATGGACGAGAGATCCGTGCTAGCTCCCGTGCTTCCTTCATGAATGGTTCCACATGAGACTTCACGCGGCTTGGTTGGGGTAGGCTAGGTTGGTGTAGGAGGCATTGAATTGCTCACACTTTATTCTTGACATATAGATGCGTTCTCAGCATGATGGGTTGTCAAGTCCTCTTCATCTTTGTGCTACATCTCCTCCATTTGTCGTTGGATGCTTTTGAACATCTCAAGCTAGTCAGGATGTGCACCAAAATGTTTCAGGTGTGTGGTCAAGGTCAACTGTCTAGGTTGTGTTGTGTTGTCTGATTTGTTGTCTAGTAAACAATCTTCCGTACTTATTAGATGATACTTACAGACGTTACTCCAATACTAAAGTCAATTCAACGTTTGACAAATAGAAATTAATGCAACAGTTAATGCATTTAACCTACGTTTTTACCTCAAACCTTTATTTATAGGTTTCTGGGGGGCTTTTGAACAATGTTGACCTAATTATGGTCTAATTTTGAGTAATTACACCTTAACCTTAAGTTGATCAATTTTGGGGTTAATTTATTCTGGTGTCATCCATCCTAATTGGTCCAATTAAAGGTCAAACAACCTATTTGGTGATCATTTGGTCTTTATGGCCCGCTCTTTGTGCTGATGTCTGACTCATCTGAGCTGGTGCATGGTCGACTGAGCTCAATAGCTTAGCCTACTAACTAAGCTGGTATTTGACTATCCAGACAAGTATGTGGCATTCGCTTCGAACTATGAATTAACTATTTAGGCTTGTGTATGGTCAACCAACCCAACTTGTTTGGTGTTCGGCTAGGTTCGCTAGCTTGCTCTATGAGCTGCAAGTTAACTATCAAAGCCAGTTTGTGGTTGGTTGACCTGTTTGGTGGTTAACTAGACTCGTGAACTATAGTTGACCGTCTTGATGGAACTTACCAAACAATCATATGGTACAAAAACCATCATCAATCAGTCTCTTATCAACACATATGGGAGGAGCAATGCAAGAACTCTGACTACCATAAACAAAATCCCAATCATGGAGACCATCCACTTTCCGACTTTCATTCCACTCCCCTCTGTGTCTCTAAAACTTAGTTAATGCAAGAGGTGAACACTACCAACCTCCTGGAATGTACCGAAAAAGGGCAACAAAAAGTTGGAACCCTATACGGAAGTGTGGTGTGAATTCCATAGAACAAATGGGCACATCAAGAAGTGTTTTTCCCTTATATAACAGATTGAACAATTGATCAAGTGAGGATACCTGGGAATGTACAAAAACAAAGGGGAGCCTTCACGGGGAAGGGAGTCTGAAGGATAAAAAAATAAAAAATAAAATAAAACTCTGCAGGGAGCACGAAACACCTATACTTAAGAATTTATTTTCCTCGACAGAGAGATAAGTGAGTATTTCTGATCTCAAGCTCCTTAGCTTCACCATGAACAAATTTAATAATAAGTTTTTATTTAATCATTATTATAATAATTTTTAAATTCTTTTATCATAAAAAATAGATGAACACATGTGTTATATGTGTTCACTAATTCTATAAAAATAAACATTTATTTATTGAATTTATGAACCAAAAATATAAGTTTAGATAAGTTTGTTTAGGTTGAGCCTTTTCAATGCACATCTACAACACAAGATTTTTGCAACCTGATGTACAATATCGAAGGATGTTAGCTAGCCTCATAATAACCTAGTAACAATACATGTCGATTATTAGTGATTGTCCCACATTATAAACTTCCGAAGAGAGAATACGTACCATGAAGACCTTAATGAGAGTTTATCCATAACTTAATTCTGAAGCTTATTTAAATAAATTATATGCACTGATTTCTGCATGCTTCATTATGAAAGTAAAAAATAAACAAAAAAGTTATAGAAAGGTGATCAATCACTTTCATAAGACTCCAATATATATTGCTATAAGCAAATACATTGAACGAAACAAATTTAACATAAACAGAAGCACAATAGCAGAGGTGAAAACAACTACCCTTTTATCTTTCCTTTTTTAAGAAAAAAAATATCGTTTCCACTCTTCCAACCTTATGAAGAAGTTGAAAGCTATGTATTCAGTTTGCTTTCAATTGGTTGGTTGACCAGTGTCGTGGCAAATGTTCAACTTAAACATAGATACTGCCAAAAGAATCCTAGTCAAATGACTATGCATTATCATTTAAACTAAGCTTATTATAAATAGAGGTGACCGCTATGAGGGGTAGTTGTAAAAGATGCATATCGAATCCACCACAGATTTGAACCCAAAAAATACCTTACGTTCTTTTCAACATTCATCAGTACATTCTCCATAGTCACACCTCGTGAGATGTTCAGAAGCTTTCGGCATACCTTGCGTAGAAACTACCACAAATGCTTGGTCAAGAATTGCAGATTCTCGGTGCATTCTCTTTGACAAAATGATTCTCTAGCTATGCTATAATTCTCCAACAGTTCTAAATATAATCTGCGGCCGAAGTCAAAACCCGGATTAAAAGCATGAGGGCAATTAGTTCGATGTTTTTGGAATAAACGCATTTCACAGTATTATCTCTGGTTGGAACTGTTGTTCCTTGAGTTTCTGAGCAAGTTTTTCAGCTAACTCGCCATACGCTCTCGAAACTACTGAATCAGGTGCAGCTAACACTATAGGGTGCCCCTGATCACAAGCTTCTCTGACATTCACTTCTAGTGGTATCTGGAATAATTATTAAATTCAAAACATGTCAGAAATACCCAATAAATAAATTCGATTTGGTTAATCAGAAACCAGAAGCTTGTGGATGTACTTTACACATTAGAATAGTTAAATACTCATTCCTCATGCCCAAAGACAACAAAGATAAGTCAAAACTGATTAGTTGTCTCATAAAAGTTATAAAAAGATGGCTTAATCATCTTTGTCTCATTACTAATAAATTATTCCACAAAATCCCTCAATTTTTAAAAAGGAGGGAAACGGAACCAGAGCAGCAAGTATAACAACTAGGGACATTCCCCTCCACAACAGTTCCACAGGCACCATAGGATTTGGAGATTACATAGAAGAAAGACCGAATCTATAAAAGGTGAGGATGAATGCAGTGAGATAAAAAGGCAATAGCCCATGGGGTCTCTCAGAAGCACACACTACTTTCCAATTAGCTTGATGATTTATTTTACACAATACAATTTATTACGAATGCCCATTGATAATTTATAAAATCCATTATGTCAATTTAAACAAAGAAAAGAGACATGTTATTGCAATTTTAAAAATTGAGAAACTTGATTGAACCATGGAAGGATCACATAGTTGCATTTTAAAATTGAGGGACTTGATTGAATATTTTATCAATAGAGAAACCAAACTGAACGAAATAAATAAATAATAGGACAAAAAGATACTTAAGTCTAAAAAGATCTATCACTATGTAACTAAGGCTCTGTTCTGACAAATTTCTCCATAGAGACTTCTAATAAAGAAAATAAGAAAAAATAAAATTAATTTGTTCATAAGTTAAATTTAACATATGCATAAGTTATATTAATCTCTCTCATATAGTTTCTCCAAATTTTTATTTTCAACTTGAGCATAAATTAATATTAATTTATGCAGAAAACAATTTAATTTTTCTCTTCATATTTTTTCTCTTTTAAAAGTCTGTTTTAAGAGGTCCGTCCAATAGACCCTAAGAAGTCTGTTCAGTTGCTTCATTCAATGAAGTCCCCATTAAACATCAACGAATTTATAATTATAAAGTAGATTCTACATACAGATCATCAACTTACCTCGCCTAAAAATTCTAATCCCATTTCGGAGGCTGTCCCGTGAGCCCCTCCTTTACCAAATATGTATGAAGGTTCGCCACAATGGGGACACTTAAAGCAGCTCATGTTTTCCACAATTCCCAAAATCTGTAAGAAAAGTTGGAATTTTCATATCATAAAAAGGCATGTTGATATATTAATGGTGGATCATGCATTTCATTCTGTAGCATGTTAGTTGGCACACTTAAGTGCTCAGAAATTAAAATGAAAAAAAAAAAAAAACTCAAAAAGACCTCAAACACAAACATATATGCTTCCACCAGACATTAGATACAAGATAAGCCTATCGTCTGCACTTAGACTAATTTTAGCATCATAAATAATTTCCCGAAATAAGCCAACAGGATTTCTGAAAGTATAGTATCATTCCCACACCTAAACACAACCAAATGCAGTCTATTGATTCAACAAATTGGGATTCAGACAGCTTAACAAGGATCCAGTGCTTATGTGCCACTGATATATAAACTAGGGCAAACTAGGATAACATTAAAGCTACAAAAAAAAAAGAGGCTAAGATTGTATTTTATTCAGGTCCTCAACACAGACGCTGTACGCTTCTTATAATAAGAGACACTTAACACACGTTTCACTTGTGCCCTAAACCTATACAAGCCTGAATGCTACTGAATGAAGGCCTCCTTTAGCCAAGAGTGATTTTTGACACTATGTTTTGGCCCATTTTGCCGATCCAAAACAAATGTTTGGGTCTGTTCGTCTCGTCATTGGGCTTGCTAACAGCCACTAGCTCAAAATTCATGCAAATGATGGCACAACGCCATCTTACTATATGCCCACTGCAAATGTTAAAAGTGCTGAACATCAACATAAATGCAGACATGTATATTCTGATTCACAAAAATATTGTTATTATGCAACAAAGCAAGTATACAAAAGGGAATTATCATACCGGAACATCAACTTTATTGAACATTTTTACTCCCCTCCTGGCATCCATTAATGCAACATCTTGGGGTGTTGAAACAATGAGTGCACCTACCATACAAGCAGCCTTGACAATGAATAACCAAGAAAGCTAAATGTATGGAAACTAGTTGAAAAAAAGTCAATACAAAGGAATATTAGTAATACTGCTATAGTATAAAATATCAATATCGCTATACTTTGTTCAATTTTATCTTGATTTAGTTAAACTTAAAAATATTCTGTTTTAATGATTATAATTAAATTAGTGCGCAATTGAAAGTTTTTCAATTGAATTAAGGTAGTATGGTAAACAGGTTTAGCCACAATCTTCATGAAAGTTTAGTGGCCTATATCAGGCACATGAGAACCAGAAAGACTTAGTGCATAAAGTCAGACATAGTGAAGGTTCAAGCTATTTGCCAAAGTTGCTTTTAAATTATATTTGTTTTTATTGGTATAGCTTAAGTATTATAAACACATAATAGACTAGTTAGAATAAAAAATATATAAACAACCCCCACGGAAGGAATCATGCAGAATTAACTACCTGATAATTGCAGATTTTGAGACATAGCTATCTGGACATCACCAGTGCCTGGAGGCATATCCATTACTAGAATGTCAAGGTTACCCCAGTCAACTCCCCTTGTCATTTTCTCAAGGGCATTTGACACCTACAATAATGCAGCAATAGAAGTTCAGATAAAAAAACAATAGAAGATGGTTTTCGCAAGAACATGCATCCAATAACAAATCCTTCATAGTATATCCCAACAAAAAACTTAAGTTGCAGAAGACAGTTACAGCAAGATATAATGAATGAAATGGAATAAAAACAAATAAGAAAAGAAGTTACTTACCATGGGACCTCTCCAAACAATCGGGGCATCCTTATCCACAAGGAACCCTATTGACATACATTTGACCCCATAATTTTCAATTGGAATCATTTTCTTCTCTGAGAATAAATGAACAGCAAGATATTAAAATTAACTGTAATTGAAAACTGGCAGAGCATTATCACAAAATTAAGCTTAATATATGGCTTCAACATTATCACCACCATTGGTGGAATGTGGAAACTAGAAACAAAACTTTAATTGGTATTGATAGCCACATACTGATAAGAATCTTGGGAGAGCCACACTACAAAAACTACCTATTGTAGTTAAAGAGGTCAAGACCTTCCAATATGAAACTCGACCTGTATCTTGCAATTGGATAACAACCCACAATGCATTACAGCACTGACACCAATGCAGGCAGGTTGTGCACTAGCCCTTTAACTAGTCTTCGGCAAATACAGCAATGACAGCATTCCACCCATGCTGCTCGTTTGCAACTAGACATAGTGGAAGGCTGTAATACCAATTGATAAAGAACCTTGGGAGAACCATACCACAAAAGCTACCTAATGTAGTTAGAGAGACCAAGATCTTGCAATGCGAGATTCTAGTCTCGCGTCTTGCAATTGAATCCTAACACATATGAAATTATCCAATATAAATTATTCTGTAAGAAAAGACATACCATGAGTGACTTCAGGCTTTGTATTGATGTTCATCATTGTGGGAATGCTGGGTCCGTACACATCGACATCAAGCAAACCAACCTTGAGCTGACACTTTCTCGCAAGTGCAACTGCCAAATTAACTGTCAATTCAATTAAATTCAAAGTTCAAACAGAACTCACTCATTCAAATCAACACAACAACAAAATTGTCAAAGATGAAATAGAAAGAAGGATAAAAGGGTTTTACCAGCAGTAGTTGACTTTCCCACACCACCTTTGCCAGAGGCAATGGCTATAGTATCCTTCACCCCATCTAAGCGAAGATGCTTTGCATAGCTCCGAATACTTCCCAGACTCTGAGCACAACAACACAATACAACCCAAAACATTGAGTTAGATTCACAAATAGCCAATTCAACAATCAAGCAGTGTTCAGATTCCTCACCCTCATCAATCGAGAACACAATGCACGCAACGTTGTTTCAGTGAAGTAACACCGCGCTATAAACCCTAAGAAACAAGATTGTTTGATTCTCCCATAAGGCCCTTGTCATCAATGTTACTCTTTCGTCACTTGCTTTCAGTTTTCAAGACTGCTCTTTTCTCCACGGATCTTATTTCTCCACGGATCTTATTTGTGTAATTACAAAAAAAATAATATGACACGGAATTAAGTTATTTAGGTTTTAAATTTGTTTGATTCCTAATTTGTTTAAGTTTTTCAGTTTGGTAATTTTAATTTATTATTGCTATATTTTTATTTACATTTTTACCCCCTTTGATTTTTATAGCACTGTTTTCAAATTTCACGTGGCACTCTCGTGTTTAGTTTAGTTTTCAAATTTGAAAGCCTAATATTTAACGACTCAATTATATATTTCATCATTTCATATAAGATACCGTTAAATTAGTCTCTCAAAAATAAAAATTATGAAATATTTTTTTGAAGTGGCATTATATCAATCACCTTAGTTCACGATAGCAAGTGTAATTTAACAGGTGTGTGGGATAAAGCTATTTGTTTTCCTATTATTCTAAGTAGATTTATTATAGTTGATTCAATGACCGAAATTGATAAGATGAAACAAAATAACATAATGTATTAATCATAACAGTATACATGATTAAATTGGAGAATTAACTAAATCTATAAATAATATTAAAATGTATTTTACGAAATACTTTTAAGACAAATAATATAAATGTAAATTCAATACCATGTTAAATAAAATATTTCATCACGTTAAAAGGATGTGTTGTTAATATATAATCTTTGAAAATATTTGATGCTAAATTAAATTATCATTAAAATGTGTATAAACTATGTTCATCAAACTACCAATTCATTATAAAAACATATACTAGAACCTTGAGTATTATTTAAAATTCAATCACTCCTAACAAATTTATCAAGTATTGTTTGAAACACAACTACTTATGGTTGTGATTAAGTATTTTTTGTACCAAAAACACTTTTAACTAAATATCAATATTATTTGGAAAATAGACACTCTTGGCTAAAGCCAAAAGGTTTTAAAAGAAAGTGTTCTAAAAGATCACTAAATTGTTTACTAAAAAAGAGGTTACGTTTTACTAAATATACAAGACAACTTTAATTTTTTATGTTGCTTTAAAATATGAATAATGTTCTTTCTCATCGTTACAAAGGCTAAGGATGGCTCAAAACTTTGAATTTGTTCTTGCCACATGACTTTTGTTAGCCTTTATTCTTTATAAAAAAAATTTATATATGAAGTTTGAAAAGAAAATAGTTGTTGCACATCTTTGTAGTTGTTGTAAGAGTCTTCTTCTATTATCTTTCTTCATGCAATTAATTCATGTTCAAGCTTCAATGAGCATTAAATGCAATACATGTATTATTAAACATGGTTATCCTTTCAAGCAACATCTTGAAAGCTAAAGAGATGAAATAGGCATTGTTGGAGTCACTATAAGAAAATTGCTATACATAAAATTGTCGATAATTACTGATGACTACAAATTCGTCAGTAAATATATATAAGTAATTATCGATAGATTTTGATCATCAATAACATCCTTTAGTAAAATACGAGATTAAGTCTCCTTTTTACTCCTCATTTTCCTCTTTTGTTTCCTTTATTTTTTTTTATCTTTTTCCTTCTTTCCTCCTGACCATCGTTGGACTGTCGCGCCACCACCACCCCTCTAAGTATCCTCCTCATCTTCTCCACCTTTAGGTCATGCCCCTCTTCCTCCTCCTTCATCTTTCCTTTTCCTTTTCCTCTTCCTCCATCTCTGTCTTTAACTCACGCAACCATCATCACTAGTGTCCTCCACCTACGTGTCATCAACATCACCAACAAGCCACCATTGTCATCACTCTTGCATCATCTTCTCCTCCTCATCCACCTCCTCTTATTCTTTTCATTTCTTCTTCTTCACACCTATCTCCCCTTAATATAGAAAAACTTCATAAAATTGAGATATTTTGCCCAAATTACCAATGGAGTTACCTATAGAATGAGACTGTCGGTAATTGTGATGATAAGGTACTAATATATATAACTGTTAATAATAAGAAGTGTAATTTATCAACTGATATTACCGACTAGTTTTGTTGTTGATAATTATTATAATAAGTTATTGACAAAAGTATTTGTCGATAATACTAATTATAATTTACTAGTAGATCTTTCTGACGAATTTTATAGACGAATTTCATACCGACGAAAATATCCATTGCTAAGTTGAAATGTGAAATTTGTTGAAAACATGTCACTAAATTTCAGTTTATTGACAAAATTACTATCATCGATAATTAACAAGATTCTTGTAGTGAGTGTATTTTCTAAATAGGACAAAAACATGGGACAATACAAAGCAAATAACATTTTAGAGTCAGTAAGGAGTGCATGCAAGATGGTCAACAATGTGGAACAAGTTTAATACATCTTCCAAGAGATATTTGATGTAGACTCGTGCTCTCAATATCTTCTTGTTTAACGTGAGATGCAAATGTTCTTTGCAAACACATAATAAGCATAGACAATATTTGTGAAGAATATTATGTTAAAATTTATGTTAAAATTGTCTAATTAAGGTTCATACTTATGTTAGAGAAAAGTCTAATACCCATTATTTTAATTTAAGTGCTATAAATAACAAAACATAAAATGTGATCATGTTTCATTTAAATACAATGTAAGAAACAAGTGTTTTGTGTGTCGAACAATATAAAACTTTGCATTCTTATTTTTACTTTTAATAATATGTTTGCTCAAACGATAGTCTTAAACTAATAATACTTTACGAATATTTGTATGCTTTTGTTGTATGGAGTGTCTATTTCCTACATTTGACCAAGAAGATCCAAAAAAGCATATGTCACATCAACAATCTCTTGGAAGCTAATCTATAATTGTTTTGCTTCAACAACTCTCAAGTGGTTCATTTGTTAACCCTACAAAAGTTTATTTGCTTTTTATGCCTTTAAGCTTTTAAACATGTTCAAGTAAATTCACTTTGTCTAAGAAGAGATAACTACATTCAACTACACGAATGTTGTTTAAAGGAGAGACGAACATTTAATGTGTGCATGGAGTGCATTTAATGTAACTTATAAGTCTAAGTTTTCAAACACAAGGAAAACATTTAGGCTTTGTTCACTTGAATGGATTTTGTGGAGAGTGATTGAGGGGATTTGAGAGGATTTGAAAGTAAATTTTTTTGTTGTTTATTTGAGTGAATTTGGAGGTAAATGAGAGTGGATTTTGAAGTAAATTTTTTTAATCTGTCACGTCAATCAAATCCTACACTAAATCTCTCAAACTTTACTTCCAAATTCACTCTCACTTACCTCCAAATTCACTCAAATAAACAAAAAAATTTACTTTCAAATCCTCTTAAATTCCCTCAATCACTTTCTTCCAAATCTATTCAAGTGAACAAGGTCTTAAGTAAATTTGAAGTTGCTCAATGACCTGAAAAGGATTTCCAACAACTTTTACACACACATGCACACACATTACACTAAGTTTAAGAAATTTCAAATTTTTCATTACACTATTAAGTTAGATGTGAAATGGGACATGTGTGATGATAAAATCGTGTTAAGCTTGACACCTTAAAAATGGAGTGGTGTAGGTAGATAAAATATGTAGGTAGATAATTCTCTTTTTCTTTTCTTATGTTGTTTTTATTTTTTTAATTTTCTAATTTTTATTTAAATAGAATTTTCTAAATTTTAATTTAAATTGAATTTTGAAAGAATTAAATTTAATTAAAGAAAAGATGAAAATTATTTATTTATTTATTTTAATCCCCTCTCAAAATTACTTAAATACCTATATTTTAGGCATTTATTTTTTTTAAAATCAAATTTTATTCAATCTAATGAAATTGAGTATTCAAACTCTACAAACAGAAAATAAGCATGAAAAGTACTGAATAAAAAACATTAGCTTAAACATGTTCATATTGCCTTATTAAGGCTTTTGCTTATCAAGCAAGGCAAGGAAAACACGTTGTGTTTGTGTCTAATCACCAGATGAATCACTTGTATTTGTCATGTTTAATGCTTTGCATTATTAGACTAGACGAGACATTTTTAAGATTTATACTCTGTTATTTAAGTACCTCATCAAAATAACTTTAAATCTACTTAGTTTAACTCTAAGTTTATTTCATAATCTATATTAATTAAAATTGAAGATGAGTTTACTTTAACTAATTAATTTAGATTTTAACTAAAATTTATAATATAGTATTTGTATATTACTAATATTGTTAACCGTATTGTAACATCCCAAAAATACAGTAATAACCATATAATAGAATTAATTACATTTAATAATATAACAGTTCAGTCTTACACTAAACAACGAACGTTTACGGCCGAACGACCTTACATAATCTTTCCAGCTAAACTGTACCACATAAGAGAGAACCTGACCGAACGGTTTACAAAAGCCAAATACCGAACGGTGAGATAATGAGAGAAAAGAGAGGAGGTGACCGAACGATCACCTCATACTAAACTACTATCTACTAACCGAACATCCTACGGTTCGGCCTTCACTTCCACTTCGACCAAGTTCTCTACTTCCAGCGCCTCTTCCAGCAGCGCGTCTCCTTCTGCTCACATCTACACGGATGATCATTGCAACGACAAGACGAACGCACAAGACGAGACAACACAAGGAAAACACAGGGTAAGCTTATGTAATTTAATTCATGCATCAACATATAAGTTAAACAATCCAACACACAAGAGCATTTCAATACACGTATCATTACGAAGCCTATCACTAGACTGACCGTCCGGACTGTATGAAATCTGTGTAGCTACAGGCGTTCGTGCACCCGGGTGATGTAATAACTGGGATACACTCAACAGTTGCCACCCGAGGTTAGCCCTATCTGTCCAAAGTACCCCTAAGGACTAGGATCTCCTCTCGTTCCCACACATGACCTACCCTCCTCTACGTGAAGACGAGTACTCACGGAACATCAGGATGAACGACCAGCTTAGCATGCCCACAGTCATACTTTACAATTTCCAACATTCATACATGAGTCGTTCCTCCCGGAACGCTCGTCCATAATTCACAACATTTCCAAATCACATTTTCTTCATCTTTCCTTAATAAATATCTCGGTGAA